AATTTGATTATAAACGAAACGATCATTATGTGAGTGAGTATTCAATTTATTTCCTGTCTAATAATAATAATAATAATAATAATAATAATAATAATAATAATAATAATAATAATAGACTAACACACGTTTTTACGTTGAATTTAATTATCACTCTATAGGGAATTAAGTATGGAATATGTTTTCACAAGTGTTTTAGCAGTGACTTATTTTAAACACTTATTAATTAGCATTTTGATTATCGAATAGTTAGCCCATTTACATCATCAGTCAGCTATGCCACAGAACTTCGTACGTACGTGCATCAGTTCAAGTTGCTATACCACATTAGCAAGATAGATACAATTGTCATTTCAATTCCAAATAGTGGTATTTGTAGTAGAAGTATTAGTTGTAAGAGAGAAGATTAGGGTTCAAAGTCATTATTCAGCCAGTGTAATCCAGCAGAATAAATCTAAAAAAGAGAGAAGTGATGAAAAATTCAGACTAGAATTTCAGGGAAGACAAAAAATGGATGCATCTGAGCCATTGCAATTTTGAGTCATGTGATTCGCGGTCTCTAACCATCAGTGACTATTGTCTTGCGGATCCCAACCAGGTGGTCTGCATCTACAGTTTAATTTCCAGTGGATTCGTGCCATGTTTTGGTTTGGCCATCCCTAGCCTTCATTCAAATCAGTCCTACATCACAAAACATCGTTGGTCATGGCATTCACTGGTTGAGCATACGCAACACATATCCCAATCGAATTGACTGATTATGATTCATTACTTCATCTTTTGATCTGCCATCCTTATCTATTGCCGTTCCCTGAAGCGGCATTGCCTACTCGAATGTTGGAACCTTCAAATAACCTCGTTTCTTGCTGGCCATGTTTCACGCCCGTATAATGGGACAGAGCGTACAGTAGACTCGTCGTTTGGTTAGCAGACGAATATCTCACTCACCCCATGAATGATGCAAGTTGGCAAAATCCAACTGAGCCTTATGTATTCAAGCCGAGATTTCGTCACACACCAGGTCATCAGCACTGATGTGAATCCCCAGATAAGTGAAACGATCAACACGACCAAGTGCCTCACTCTCTATCACTAGTCTAGGTGCTGATGCAAGCCAATCCTGAAGTAAAATTTTGCGTTTCGAGGGGGAGGACCGCACCCCTAACATGCTTGCATTGTTGCTTAGGGTGTTCAGTAGACTCTGGATTTTGTCAGCATCTTCACATAAAAGAACCACATCATCGGCATATTCCTGGTAGAAGGTCAACTCCTGATAATTCATATAACGAAAGTGCTGTCTCCAAAAGTACGACAAAGTTGAATAAGAATGGAGAATGTGGACAACCCTGACGTACACCACTAGAAGTAACGAATTCCAATGGCAGTTCACCGTAACCTCAGACTTAACCAGTTAAGTTTAAATAAAGAGTAAAATGTTCATGTACTTTTTAGGTATAGTTTTTAATGACAGACTGCCAGAGAAACCTCACAATCAACAGAGCCAAGTGCCACCCTAAGGTTGAAAAAACCACTATTGTGGGACGTCAGAAAGTGTCTTACCTGACGTAGTGTGAACATATGGTCTGTACATCTACGTCTAGGTAAAATCTCACCCGTTTCCCGTTTAGTTTCAGGGGTTATTCTGCCAAGGCCTGCTACTCTGTCTCGTCTTAGATTTTCTACTGTCTTTTCAACCTCATTAAGAGTATAAGGACTTACATCAATTAGCCATTCGGGTTGACTGCAGATCTCGGGTAACCAAAATGTGGTTGAAAGCCAGTTGAGCTGATCCAAAAAGTGTTCTACCCATCGATTCGATCACCTGGATTAAGAATGAATAATAAGCCCATTCTTTTGCGAGGTAGTCTCACTGGAATCCGGACTCCTAATACCGTTATTCCTGTAACCTCTTTGCCTTTGCTGCCCACCACTGTTTGCGATCACTGCGCAGCTTTTTCAGCCTGTGTTTAAGCCGCCCCCACTGCTTATTGTGTTTACAGCCAAAGTGGACGAGATCCCGAGCATTTATCAGTTCAGCAGGTGCTACTGAAATCCACTGCTTCTCCCTAACCTTTTGGTTTAACTTACTCGCACCTGTCGCTGAAGTTTCCATAGCTTTTTGGACATCATTTCAACCTTCTTCGGAGTGGACGTCACTTATATGGCTGCTTAACTGTTTTTCTAGTTGCTTATTAAATACATGCTTGGCTTCTTATCGTTAAGTAGGATTCTATGGGGTTTCTTTTCTATCTTTCTACCATCAAATAAGCCGCAGTCTTCTATCGAGCCTCCAAAGGTAGCTGAAAGCAATGTGATCTGTTGCATGTAGTCGAATACAGGGATCCTCATTTTAAAGATGTTCAAAGTTAGTATTTGCTAGAGCACAGTTGCAGCAGACGGTCGCCATTATCTGATCATTGAGCCACAACATCATAATATTCATCTGATTGTTATTTCTTTTCGTTTAGTCTACCTTCTTGAGCATTAATTTCACCAGCTACTACTACTACATAAGAGCGCCTAACTTTTTGAAAGAGGTTCGAAAGCTTTCTTCAAAATTCATCTTTCACCTCATCCGAGCTGCAGTCATTGGAAGCGTAGGCAGAATCAATCAGGAGGCGACAGCGAGTTTCCGCACCTTTCTGAGTCTTTACTGTTCCGTTCAGTCGGAAAGCACACAAGCGACTATCTACTGGAATCCAGCCTGATTTAGGACTCAATCCTATTACTCTACAAGAAACAGCCGTGGGGCTGCCAGATATACGAACCGCAAATCGAGACGGTTCTTCATCCTGATTAAGTGAGGTCAAATCAATAGTTCTACATGGGTCCTGTACGTGCGTTTCGCAGATGCATCATGCATCGATGACACGAGATTCTAAAGTCCTAGCTAAGGAAGCCTGTTGTCCTATTCGACTCAAGGTCGAGGGTTTCAAGTTACCAAGAATAACGTTTCGTGCAGAATTCAATACAATTAATTGTTTAAAACAATTAGAAGACGGTTATCAGAAGTGTGTTATATATTTGCGCAATACATTTCAAACAATCTGGTTATACATATGCTTGTTAAAACTTTACATATGAAACGTAAAAAATGTCAGTTAGATACAGTAAGAGGTTAAGGAAATAAAGATTAAAACAATAACAAATTACACCATGTGAAAATCACGATGGATCAAGGAACAGCTGTCGAAACTATGCTGAATTACGCAAATAAATCTAGAATCCATGTTCACAAAAACCTAACCTTCCCATTCATAATTTGGACAGCCACCCTCTGTCTTGACCATCAGTAAAATGGTGAGTTTTAGTTGCACATTGAGTAAACTCATTCTTTCGAAATATTCTAATTATTTTTTCTAATTTTGAATGTTTTCAACAGCCGCCTCAAACCACACTGACCTATCTCATCAAAATACTCTGTTAATTCTCTTATAGGATTATGTAACAGTAAAACTATCTTTTGAAGTCCTCGCGTAATTACTGTGGTGATTATAAACACTTCTCCTCGCAGTTATGCAATGTTACTCACCAATCATTGGGACATTGTGTAATCATTACGTTACGTAACTACTTAATGAGTATCAAATCAGTGCTAGCAATCATATATACTAGTGTAGATAGAGTCATGATGAAAACTTCTGCGCTCTATCTGTTCTTTCAACTAAACGACAAAATGTGAATTTTTTACTATAATTGACCTAATTCATGATTCATTGAAGTTGCCTACTCAGAAAATGGATGAGTTACAACTCTTTGTATGCTTACAATCTGAACTACCGCATGAAAATTGTCTATCATTCATGATGGGCATTAGTTGAACAGTGGCTACATAATTGACGTGAACCACCTAGAACGTTAAATCAAACCAATCACATAAGTAATTTTTTTGAAAAAATAAAATAAAAAGGATAGAAATTTATGAATTTCATCCTTCATCACCTGCCTTGTACGAACTTTGTCAGATAATCTAATCTGCACATTTTTGTCATTACAGCCTCCCGTAACAGATATGTTCTAAACACATTTATCTGTGATACAGTTGGCAAGGTGAATGTGCAGCAGCACAAAAATTCGATCAAGAGACAATCATTAAGCGAGTAAAATATGCACATTGGATAATCAAAGAGCTTCTGAGTACTAGATGTAAATTAAACATATGAAAATACTCCATGACGTAGTGAAGTTATCATTTCGCATTCTTTAATTTCTTTGAAAAAACCAACCAAGATCACTAGATTAATCTCCCCATTTTCAATACAGCAGACCTGTAAACAAACATACTATCTATTCAACAATGTACTTCTTGAAAATAAACTTCGAAAGTACATGCAGTAAGCGATTAGATAAAAATAACACTATCTAAGAAAATTCCATTCATTACTGGTTAACTCTGTGTTTCCGAAACTAACGTCATAATTCGACTGTATTAAATGTAAAAGTCAAGATGTACAAGTTTGGAAAGGAATAAAAATGCGAAAAGTTGCATAATTTTTTTATAAATAAGTAAAAGAAATATCAATTAGGATGAATGATATCAGTTAAAGAAAACTAACCTATATAATATATATATAGATATGTATATAGGGATTGACGACTAAATAGTAATAAAATTATTTAGAAATATAGAAAAATCAAACACAAATAATCTGTTTACAGTCAAGCTAAATAAATTTTCTAAAAAAAAAAAGTGTAGAACAATGATTGAATGCAACAAAATAGTGACAGCATCAATATGTGACACTTGTTGTGTGTTAGTTGGTTGAAAAATTTTTTTAGGTTAAAACAAGTGTTCAATCTTGAAATCTTTAGTGCATCGAAAACGTGTGCAATTATTATTGTCAATAATCAGTAAGTATCTAACAAACATACATTAAAACACTGTATCAGGGGCACTAAGTTCAAAAAAAAAAACAAATTCTAATTCCATGATATAAATATGATAATAACTTACAAATTATCACAAATACTAAAAAAAATATTTGCAATTATGATTAAAACGCTAGTAATAATAATAATAATAATAGGAATAATTATCCAAAGATATGTATTATCGCTTCCTCCTGTCTAAGATAATAGATCATTCATCCGTGACTTGATTGTCAAAAATACAAATCTCTGAAAGTGTGAAAACAATGCAATACACTGAGATTCAAGTGAATGAATATATAAAAACACAAAGTTTGATATAATATGCTTATTTAATCGATGTTAAGCTGGGCCACAACAGCATTGCTTCCATTTATATATATATATATATATATATATATATATATATAACATACGATTTCATGCCATAGCGTTATCACTAACACTGCTGTCTCTTTTCATGGAATTTTTACTTTGATGTTCCACTTTTAGCACGATACACTTTCAGTGTGTTTTCAATAAAAAAAATCAATCAATCATCGGCACGAAGCGCTCACTTTCAAAGCAATGACATTCATCAAAACAAGCATAATTTGTGTAACTGTTCTGTTTGAGGTTTAGTGATTATGATTAAAGAGAGAAAGCTATAGATAGAAAAAAATGTTTCTGTGAAATATACATATTTCTGTTTTTTTTTAGTGTTTTTGATGATTCTGCGGAGGCGTTTAATTTATGCAATTAAATTTTAACCGTCTCTTGCATAAGTTAGTAGTAATATGCGTAAAATAACTACTATCAACAATTAACTTGTAAAATGCCGTGTAATGTAACTGCTGAATGTTATGCTTGTCAGTTGAACTGACAAAAAATTAGACCAGTGAAATTCCTCCACGGAGGCAATGGCGGGTATCACGATGTTTTTGAGTCAGTTCAGAAAGCAATGAATGGAGGTGGGAGAGAGAGGATTTCTTAACTTGTATTAATTATACCTGGGAATTACATGTTTTTTTACAAACTGTTATAAAATGCATTGCATGGATAGAATACAGTCATCAAGAATCTAGATCTAAGCGCCTTGTTTGTCATAGTATGCATTTGCCACGTACGGCCTAAACGTCATGGTGAATTTCGTTTTTTTTGTTTAGAAATAAACAATTTCATTACGTTTCGTCCATTGAAATGAATAACTTAGAAAAGGAATGTATTATTTTTTGAAAAGTTACGACGAATGTGAATAATTTACCAAGCACTAACCATACGGTTTCAAACGTTGTCACTGTCATACTCACATTGCTCTGCGACTTATACTGTAAAACTAAGAATCAATACCACTATCACGACGCAAATTTAGAACATAAACGACTGGCACAAATGAAAACTTATTCACTCTAAAACAAAATCACCTGCTACATATCATGCTGAACATAGTTGACCCTAATTTGATACCAAGAATATTACTCCGAACAAAAATCACACTGAGATTGAACCCAGTGTTGTATTGAACGAAATATAACACTGAAAATACAACGAATATTATTCTGCGCAGTTATCACATTGGATTATTAAAATCGTCGGGATCACGCCTTTTTATTCCGTCTGATCAAAATAGTTTTCTGATGTTGAATGAATTCACCTATCTGGAGTATAATAATAGATCCAACATTTCATTTACTTATCCCAACTCATATATATATATATATATATATATATATATATATATATATATATATATATATTCTAGGTATGAAACCAATAGGCTTTATTTTTAATAGGAGAGAACATAAAATATTTGACTACTGAATTAGGGCTCCCTGACAAAGGGAATAGAGTGGAAGAATATCAAGTTACATGAAGGAAGAGATTGAATGATCACAAACTCAACGGTGACAAATTATCAGTCATGAAGTCAAATAAATTCATTGTTGGAAATAAATTCTACTAGCTTTTGGTTTAGTGGTTTGCCATGAAACCTAAAGCTTCGATTCTGTGTGCAGTCATGTGTGTAGCAATGGATACTTTGGGCAGTTACTTGTATGAAGTATAGAACTTGATTTATATGTGTATCAACCCCAGTTGCCACACTGTATCATCATTTGTTGTACAAAAATTGGTCAGAAACATAATTTCAGTCTTGAAGATCCAAAGAAAGATGGAGTAAATGCTTTTGAGTCACTCTGGTCTATTCAAAATAAATAGTGTTTAAAAATTTATATTATCTTACAATTTAATTTGATTAACATTGATTTCTATTAAATTGTCCTGATAAATAGTTATTCAGATAATTAAAATAATTCATTTTGTCACTGAATGAAAATAAAGGGAATTCAGCGAAGAAAATTTTGTTTTCGACGACATTATTTACCTACACTGTACATTATTAGCATTGCATCACAAAATGACCTGAGATTTCAAATACCGAATGGAAGTAGCATAGTAATCCAAGATTCAGAAGAACAGGGAGGTGAGTATTGATACTCATCTACAAGTTTACTTGCTCGTGTGTGGTAGATAACATTTGCCGCGTAAAGCAACCGCCCACCAAACGCATCATGGAACATTACCCGGTATGACTTTTAAAAAAAGGAGTACAAAGCTATCAGTTACTCAATACATAAGCATTTGATCAACTCCGGACATGGTGCTCAGACGACTACTGAACCTTGAATTATTATCATCGCTCATTCTTTTAACTCTTGGATTATTATGTGAGTTATTTTCGATATTTGAAGGTTCAGGTCATACCGTGATGCAATCTTTCCTACTTTACCATGAAATTATATATTTATTAAACAATTATACACACGAATAATGTATAGCTTGAGTGAGTAAGTGATTTCGTCGAGAAGAAAATTTTCTTCGCTAGATTCTCATTATTTTTTTAAAGTTGCTCAATAGTATTTAAATGATAATGTAAATAACTTACGGCGGGAAAATCGACTCGCATTAGCTTGATTATCTTTAATAATTGCATCAAATTAAAATTTGCATAGAGTATGCAACTGATGTTTATCATGTAATGACTGGCATTCATTGTCATATTCAATCAAATTACGAACACTGTCCACAAGATTCATAGTATCTTTATTGCTGACTACATTTCTGTTATTGTTTAATTTCGGTAAGCTAGAACAACTAATAGAGTATAACAAGAAATGTGGAGAAAAAGGAGATAAACATTTCAGTTTAATAAATCTGTAAGTGATGTTTTTGTTACACAGAAACGCTATTACGCATTCAGAACAAACTTATTTCAAATAATTGTGTCATCAAATCAATTAACTGTTTAGCAAACAAATTTGGTTGCATAATATCATATTGTTTTACCAAGCTAACTATGCAGAAAATACTGACGGTTTTGATAGTGATGAATCACTGAGATGGTGTGGTATTTTCTAAGCTAGATGGCTTAACAGTTAGAAAGAATTTCAAATTATCAAAACCTACGTGTTAGGTGTACCGTCCATTTATACAGATGAACAAAAACCTACAACCAATATAACCCCCCAAAGTCTAACTCTATGCATGTTTTGATCACCTATATGTAATCTTACATGAATAGTCCGGTGTAAGTTCGTACGTTAGGAGCATCAAGAAGTTTTTAACTAGGCTTAGTCAACTACTCATTGTTAATTTATGTTTTATGATCTTTCATTTGGCTTCAGTTTGTGAGTGAAAATAATTTTGAAAAATCCACATGTCTTTGTTCAAATGTTAAGTTAACTGCACTCATAATGTTGCTATGAGACATTTTATTCGAAATATTACAAGTCAACCACACCAAATAACATTGATTTTAATTACTGTTCAAAGCATGAAACGATGAAGTTTATGCTTAACTATTATTAAATATAACAAATTAGGGTTACTGTATTCTAGAGTTTCACTTTATGAATTCAGTTGTGAATGTCTCATGAAAATTACTCGTAACAATTAAATTGAATTATCATATTTTTTTGCTGGCGACTTGAAAATGCATACTTTTATAAACAGATAGTTAGATAAGTTCCAAAAAAACGACTAACCTTGAGTATTGCTTTTTCAATATGCCTTTATTCGAAAGTGAAGAGTCCTTCAACCACAATCCTACGTTTCTCGAATAGTGATCAATCGATTTGAAAGTAGGTGAAACTTTGTCGAAGTGGATCTCAGGTCGTAGCATGTTGCCTACATAAAGTAATATAGACAACGTTAAATGATAAAATTATCGACCGAATAAATCTATATGGCTAGTTGGAAAAATGTTAATATAGATGCAAAGATTTAATAAAGTCACGCTTATCTTTATCGTTTTCAGTAAAAGATAAAAAAGATTTCTTTAGAAAATGAGACTATATGAACTCCTTTAAAACTTTTGATGGTCACTTTTTTTGAAAAAAATGTTTTCATTTTGATCATTTCTCTAACAGAGCCACATTGAGATTGCTGAGGACACTTTGCTACTTAACAATGTAGTTTAAAAGCCTAATTTGTGGAGTGACCATTGGTTTCGCATAAAAATGTGTTTAAGAAAGTGATGATCTGTTACTTATTCAAACGTCTTTTTTATCATAGAAATATCATGTTAATTAAACAAGCCTGTTTGGGCAATAGAATCTTGAACTGAAGAATCGACTATTATAAATCTGAAAGCCCTGGACGGCCATTTCACCCTTGTATGGGACTCATCAGCATTTCAGTGAAACACAACAATCTTAATAACTGTACGATGAAAATCATGAAAACTTTCTCAATAGAGAAGATTCCCGAAGTTCTAGCGAGAAGCCGTAACCAGTGGAGTTCAACCTTGTCAAGCGTAGGCAATTACCTACTGAGACAATGAAGCGGTTGTGAAATGCCTTGGATTGATTAAAGTTAGAAGTTAACACCGTTGGATACCGCCTCAGTGGTCTAGATGTCAAGTGTTCGCAGGCGAGATTGAAGGTCCTGGGTTCGTGAATATGCACTGCTGAAGAGTCCCATACTAGGAAGTAACGTCAGCCCATTGCTTACCGGTTTCTAACGGTGGTCTGACAATGACCAATCCATCATTTCAATCGAACTTAACAATCTTCACAGCTGTATAGTGAAACTTATTCAGATGATATCAAAATACATTGAATGCAATCATATATTTGATTAAATTCTTCTGAGCAGGTACACGGTATTGAATGTGTTTTTACATGCCAAATCAACTTATGGATTATAAATAATTACTTTGAGGCATAAAAACTTTTTTATCATCTTTCATGCATATAACATATTACATAAAAATCATTTATTTGCTTTGCGGCTAAATAATTTAAAAATCAATCAACTTTACGTTCGGTATTTTCAATTTGTAACATGGATTAGTATTGCGACGCGACACCTGACGAAATTGTGTCGAAAACGCATTGTTCATTCTGATAAACACATTGCGGTTTGAAAATCTTTAAGACATTGTTCTATTTTTTTTTTTTTTGAAGATCTAATTCAGATTCCAATGAATAAGAATTTCAATTCTTTCCTAATTAATCAACTCGATTCATTGCAATATTTCATTGTAAAGTTGCAATTTGTCTGATCCATTTTTTACTGTTGGTTTTGTTATTATTAATTTTTATGTTCACGGCTACGATAACCAATGATAATAAAAGTAACTTTTATTGTTACACATAAATCAAAAAAAAAAAAATAATCATAACCGAATCAACAGTCATGTCTATTCAATATATATTCTGTGTATCGAAATTCTTTGTTTGATTAAAAGAAATTATTTTCTTAAAAAAGACTCCATTATCATCTCAAATAGTTAGTGATATAATTTTCAGAGTACGTCCCACACAGATGAACAGAAGAAACTCCGTATGTATCATAAATAAAAATGTTAAACAACATACAACCAAGTTTCGCTTTTTTTTATGTGTTGGAAGATTAAAATTACAATTTTCTGTTAATGAAGATGGACATAATAAAACTTTTTTGTTAAGATTATGCAGTTAAATTACAAAGAAAACTGGATAACAAACGGTATTTTACTTTACCTGTAGTTGGTAAACGATCCGATCTACTCCAAGGAGCCTTGTCTTTGTACGGTGCAAATGTTGGCGGTCCAATCAGTTGTGGTATAGGCTTTGCACCCCAGTAACGCCATTCGGGACGATTCAGATGCTTAACTTGATCTTTAACCCATTTAATATGCATTTTACCGTAGGGCAGTTCTTGATCGACATCTGTCGCAACATCTTTCACTTGGTTGTATATTCTGCGGGCTAATGAAAAAAACCAGTAATGGCTAGCGAGAACTGGAAATATTTTCGAATTGAGCCATAACCAAAACATGACGTTAGTCCACGAATTAAGTGACTAGAGGTCTGTGCCATATTGTTAAAAACAAACCACCAAGTTAGGAATGGCGCGATAACTGTTAACAATCGTTGAGGACTCTGAGTGATAAGGCTCAAAACCGGTTAGACTGATGTATATGAATTCACTCTCTACGCTACTCTAGATGTTGAGTATCAGTATTCGTTCATGTATACTTTTCCACATAATCATTTTGAACTATATTTTCAATTTTCAGTCTCTCTGATCATCATTGCTACGATATTATTTCGAATACTTTGTTACTCATCTTCTTAAATTCATCTCCTTGTGTTAATATGACATGAGGATTTAGACCAACACGTATCGGTGCCACGCACTACTTTGACTATAACTGACTGATAGTGAAAATGATATGCAACACTCTTCCCTACTTAAACTTTCTTCCATACCTACCTGATTGCAATGATCGAAAGTGTTTGGTATGCTCGATCTCAATAAATCGCTAGGTAAATGAAAAGAAAAGAAAACGCCCCTTATTATCGTACGTTTGTGCTTCTTACTTAGAGTGACCTAAAATATCATCGGTTAGTTTTTGCTCTTAGTGTATTATTTTGTGGATCTTCCAAGGACGCTTTTTGTACCATAAAAATAACTCCCGAATTGAGTGCTGGTAAATTCGTTTACTTGTGAGTGCTTGTAGATTCTAAGATTTCCCTGCTAACTTCAGACTTCTTGCTCTAGTTAGCTGGGCTGGGTGTCATAGGTTATCGTTCCGTTCACCGCAATCAAGTCGTATCTTAATTATTACAAATATAGCAAAACGTGATTGAACGATGTAAGATTAATAGATCCATAAGCTAAATAAATTTTCCAACATGCAGCTAAAAGTGAACCGGTATGAGGTGATTTCCCTAAAGATTCTAATCAAAAACCTTAACATATGGAATAAAATGAATCATTCATGAAAAGCAAAAACAAAAATTCACTGAGGTCAGAAATATATGAGTGATGCCATATTCATCAGGATAAAGGAAATACCATGATGTATTTCAAATTAAAAATCAAACAATTACTGAATATTCCTTGATTTTTAAATGGTTCAACTAGAGAGCCAGTTTGTTCAAAAAATCAAGAAGTGGATTTATGTACTTTGTGTTTCCTAGTCTAGGAAGATTTCCATTGTTATTATTATTATTATTAGTATTTCTATCAGTGCTACTACAGACTTATTTGTTCTTCAATCACCATGAAATTTGTATTAAAATGATTGAAAATCGAAAAAAAAACGAGAGAGATAGTGGTCAAAAGAGTGATGAAATACGTTATGACCATTAAACAAATCAAAGTGATGATACCTGATGACCATACAAGTCAAATGTGAAAAAGACTAAATGACGCTCGTGTGCGTGTCTGTGTGTGTAACAATGAATGATAGAGAACAATTCTTGTATTAAATCAAACTGTGAATGATGCTTGTTTCATTGATGCCGAAACTAGTAAACAAGGAAAAATAAACAGTGATTGAAACTGGAAATGACAATAGGGCGATTGTTTTTTTTAGATTTTTCATTGGTTAGTTACGTGACTGATTGATTGATTGATTGGGGTTGAATGCACTAGCTGTTTAAGATGTTTTCCATGGTATATATATTCTAATTTCCCTTTATAGACAAATTCTGGGCTATGATCAATTAGGAATTTTCTTACTTTCAGTTGTATTTGTTAGTTAGTAGTAGTACACTTGAATGTTAGTTATTCCACTTCTGTTTTAATGTTCATGTTCGACCATTTGGATTATAAGGTTAATTTTTTTTAATAAAGCAACTCAATGTGTCACTGAATAAAAATAAAAAGAATTGAACCAAGAAAAAAATTGTTTTGACGAAATTATTTATTTAAGCAGTGCTTTCGTATTCATAGTTGTTTGGTAAATGTATGAATCCATGAGAGAATCGAGAGAGATTACAATATGATGTAACCCGAGATTTCAAATACCAGAAGGTTGCCTAATTGACGAGAGATGAAAGATGAGTGAGAGATGAGAATAGTTTACGCGTCAGAAATGCAAGAGTCGGCTTAACAGATATGACGAAAAACCGAAAAACCTCCTAATATAATCTCTTCCTCTTCTCCTATAGACTTACTTATGCATTTATTAAGCAACTATGAAAACAAATGCACTGCTTCAGCAACTTATTTCATCAAAAACAAAGTTTCTCTGGTGAATGTTCTCAATTATTATTATTACTATTATTATTATTATTATTAACTCATTTGGCTTCGAGTTACACTCATGGCTATCTGAAATCGCACACATGCACCTCCCTTTCAATTGATTAAGTGATCTTTAGATCAGAAGATCAAAATACCTATTTTTGACAGTGGAAATTGCCTAAACTCTAATTAATATATTCGACATTATAGCACAACGGTAATATAATAAAAATGATACTTTTCTTTCAAGGTTTATAGAATGCTACATGTTCAGGATTAGTTAGAAGTTAATTTGTTCGAATTGTAAAACTTTCAATGCATTTAATCTGATTGATTTGAACATAAATAGACAGTTTATGTGAATAAGATTATCTATGATAAAATGAATAATAAATGAACTTTAAGTTTGAGCGTTAGAAAATCAAAGTCAACTGAAATATTTTATAAATTGGAGGGATAGAAGTTTTGATGAACCGATAAACGATCCTCAAACATAAATTTAAACGAGGGAAACACTGCTCATGTTTTATTGCAAACTGAAACCACCTGTAGAAACATTAAGACTGAAATAGCATCGAACTAGTCAGAACTTAACTCCAACTCATGATGATTTGTGCACCCATCATTTATGTCATCAGTAAGGATCTACTTCGCTTTTGACTTGGAATGATTCGCATGCTACTTACTATTCATCAGTGGTGTATTACATACGGCATCAAAGCGGTTGATAGGTTTCTTGCTCTTGGCGACATCCAAATCCACTAGCTTCCAGGATAGATGCAGTTACTGCCATGAATGATCCAACAAATTAAAAAATTATACTACGAAAATAATGAATAGTTCAGATCATTTCGTGTTCAAGGTAAATCAGATAAAAGAAATAACACAGCCTTGGAGACTTGATGAACAAGATGATTAAACTGACTGTGTGTAAATATCTTGTATTGGTAAGGATTCATGATCAAACACCTAATTTTATGCTGATTCTAATTTCTCGGTCCACGTATAAAATAACCTTGATTTTAATAGAATTTCACCATTTTACTTCAGAGACCAAACTGACGTTGCAGTATCAACTATATAAATCGATTTTGAATGTTCTTAAACGTTAGTGGAATCACATGAAACCGAAATAACAATGGGAGTGAAAATAACAACACAAAAAAATAATGAACTTGTGAATACATTGAATGACAGGAAAAACAAACAAGTGTAACTTGGCTTCTTCTAGGTAAATTCACTTGAAATGAACTATACTAGTTAATGAACACAGAACATGAAAAATCAAAGTTAAATATTTGAATCGTTCAGCAAATATATATTTTTCCATCCATTCAGTCAGTTACAACGTAGGACTTCGTGCATACGTGAATCATTTCAACTTGCCATATCACATTAGGACAGAGACGAAGTTGTCGATTCGAATGCCATAGTAGTAGAAGTAGTAAAAGTATTAGCACTAATGGGTTCAAAGATGTTATTCAAGAAGTAGAATATTGTGAAATAAACTTAAAAGATAAAGGTAATGTGGGATTCGGAGGGTTAGGATTTGAAATAACACAAAGAATGAATGTACCTGCGCCATTGCAAACGATTTTGATCCATGTCATACAAGATCTCTAATCATCGATTTCTAAAATCTCGCGGAGGCCAACCAGGTAGTCAACATTCACTACCATGACTCAATCCATTTGTTAGTGCCTTCATGAATTTGTGCCATGTTTTGGTTTAGCCGCCCCTAGCTCTCTTTCAGCCTACTCATAAATCAGACAACATCGCACGTCGAGGCAGTCGGTGGTTAGGCATATGTACCACATGTACCAACCACCTCAACTGATGAAATGTCACTACTCCATCTATTGATCTGTCATCCTTTCCTAGCACCCAATTCTTAACAACTGAATTATTTATTCGGTTGTCCCAGGATACAGGAGCAAACATTCGGAGACACCTATGATCGAATACTAGTAGCCTACGAGTATCTTCTACTCTGACTGGCAATGTTTCACAGCCATAAAGTAGGACAGAGAGAACTACTGTAAAATAGACTCGTCCTATGGTTGATCGACGGATATCTTCCCCACTTCATATGACGCAAGTTGGCAACAGCCAGTCGAGCCTTCTGTATCCATGCTCACATTTCGTCACACACCAGACCATCAGCACTGATAACACTCTCGAGATAAATTAAGCGGTCAACACGCTCAACTGCTTCACTCTATCACTTGTTTAGGTGCCGATGCAACCCAATCTTGAAGCAACATTTTGCATTTCGTGGAGGAAAACCGTATCCCGAACATACTAGCACTGTTGCTGAGGGTAGTCAGAAGACTGCATTTTGTCAGCGTCTTCACCAAGTAGAACTATGTCATTGCCATATTCTAAGTCAACAAGCGAGTCTTCTGGTAGAAGGTCCACTCCTGAAAAGTCAGACGGTGATAATGTTAACTCCAAAAGCTTTTCTATGACAAGGTTTAACAAGAATGGAAAAAGTGAACAGCTCTGACGAACACCACTTAAAGTAAGCAATTCCGATGACAGTTCGCCATAACCTCTCAGCCAACCAGTGGTGTTCAAAATGAGAGCTGGTACAACGTTAATGAATATCACTGGTACTCATTTTAATGACAAGCACTGCAAAAGAGCCTAATATTGTGGGACGATTATCGATGTTCTAGGACCTGACTTCCATCGATGAACACTTATCTTAGGTTCTGTGTTGATGATAATCAACATTTGGGCTTCATTCTTTGAAGAAAATTTTGTAGGAAATTTTCAGGAAGCAGAACAATCAACTAAGGAAAAGCATTAAAATTCGATATATATTCATTTATCACAGTATTTTTAATCCATTCTGCACAATGAGAGGGATTGAACAAAATGAATATCAAAGATGTCAAAATAAATATATTAATGAAAATAGTGTACAAACTACAATAAGAAGAAATGAAATTTGTGAATGAAGAGTACGAAATGAAATTTTATCCTAAGATTTAAAATTTGCAAACAAACCCTCTCCACTATGGCAGGTTTGAGTCATGTCATCTGAGATCTGCAACCAACCGAGGAGTGCAAAACTCTCAACTTATCTAAGTTCAAAAGTGAGTGACATCGGTAATTAATGTCAGATCTTGGATTTCCGTCCCTTAACCTTTTACTTGTCAACTCTTATACTAGATAGGTATCTACCAACATACAGATGATAAAAAAATCAGCTCAGTGTAGTGAGATTCGAGAAACCGTAAACCTGTTTACCATGTCTATCTAGTACACCAAACCTAGGGTTAGGACTAGTCATTAGATCGCTTCACTAAACTTGAGTGATACTTTGATTACATTTATATATATATACATATATATATATACCTTCAGCACTTGTTGGACGTCGAATTCGTTCACTCTCACCCTTTTTCGCTATAGACTGATTTGCAACATCTGAATGAAAGTCATATAATGATTCGGATAGAACGTTTAACTCTGCCTTCGGGGTTTTCTTTCTTTGATGGTTACTACTACTACCACCTTCGTCCATACTTGAAGCGTAATCTGAATCAGTAAACTCATTCTTCATTTGATCTAACTGATCTCTTGTATATGCATAATTCATACGTTTTTTCCTGGAATTCATACTGTCCGTAGAGTTTCTTTTATCATTTATGCCACCAATAGAAAACGGAGCTAACTGATTAAATGGTCGTAAGATATTTTCATTTGATTTGATTGTCTCAGTGATTCTATCTTCAGGATTTTGTGTTAATGTAGCAATATCAGGACCGATTGGGATAGTATTATTTATTTGATCATCTAAATTACGTGATTCTTCTTTAGGAGTAATTTTCCATTGAATTTTATCTGATAATAAATTATCTTGAAACAAATCACTAGGTATCCATATAGCTGTATCGAATGGGATTTGGAAACTGCTGTTTGCAATCATTTCATTATTTTCGTCTTTGACAAATTCTACTGTTATAGGTTTGTCAGACAATGTGAATCCTAAAATTAATTTAAGAAAATCAAAAAAATGTTTTGTTATTGTGATACAATTTAAAATGGAATAAAATATTCAACAATTGATATCCTAATTAAAAAAATAAACGCAACTAGAGTATATGAACGAACCATTTAAATTTAAGATAACACTTATTGGATTTTTGTGTGAAACTGACTTAATCTGTGTAACTGTAAGAACATTCTTCTATTGCATTTGGTGTCAGTTCGTAATGAAAACCGTAACAATCGTGTTTTGTCCTGACTCTTAAACCTGGTTTCTCATGGTCACCACCTTATAATTAGCATCCAAGTTTGTCCATATACTTTGGCACCATCACAAACATTTATAGAAACTGGGAAGTGACTAAGTTCGCTTTAAAAGTGGAATATCAATCTGTACATAGGCAATGTTGCTCATAAGAAGCATCCATATGTAGAGAGATATTTTGAGTGTTTCGAGTTTTTCTTCTGTGTACCGTTTATCAGGGACAGTAATTAAGGCGTTTCGTTACTCACCAACCAAAGAAGTGCTTTATTGATACGAATTCTCGTTCAGTTATAAACTTGTGTGATAACTGATAATCTCTAATTGTGCATGTAAATTATCGATTTAGTTTCTACGAAAAATAATTTGATGAATTTTCGTTATACAACGGTTATTAATGAAGCTTTCCGTGAAGAAATTGATTAGATTACAGCGAATAGCGGCTTTCAACTTGAGGCGTCATTTTTAAATGCTTTACTTACTAAGGAAAACGGTACGATTAAGGAGTTTGTTTTTAACTCAACTGTTAATAGTGACCAAATAATATAATTTTTATAACGTTTGAACATTTGAAGATACTACTCGTAAAATGCAAGTAACATAAACAATTGGGTAAAATAGTTACAGAGTTTCTATCGCTTTACCGTCTGACACAAACAGAATACAGCTCGACAAAAGTGTGCATTGGTCCGAGTTGTCATATCATATTAGAAGAAAGAAACGAATTCAAAAAGATGAGTGGCAAAGTATTCGAAATAATATCGTAGCAATGATAATCAGAGAGACTGAAAATTGAAAATATAATTCAAAATGATGATGTGGAAAAGTATACATGAACGAATACTGATACTCAACATCTAGAGTAGCATAGAGAGTGAATTCATATACACCAATCTGACCTGTTTTGAGCCATATCACTCAAAAACCCTCAACGACCAAGCGCAGTTATCGCACAGATCTCGATTCGGTGGTCTGTACATACTACTACAACTTTGTAGTTTGAAGCCACAGTTCATCGCATCATGACTGATTTTCCCCAAAAACTTGCAGTAACAGACTGTTGAAAAGTAAAACACCGACAAGTATTTGAAGAAGATAACTCTGTCTATCTGGATGTAATTGAAGTTCTGAAACAGTACTCATTGTAAAAATGGTTATTCAACAAGTGGATTTACATTTATGTAATTTTTCTTAGCTAAACTCAATTTTACAGAGGAGCAATTCAAAAAGTATTACCACGTACTCTTAATTTTTTTGCCAACGATCTACTTAAACTTATTTTAATAGTAAAATAATTTGGAGGATTTTAGAGTGTTACTAATTCTAAATAAAAGTAATCTAAATGCTCGCCACCGACCTCAAAAATTTCCAGTTGTTTTCGAGGATTTAGTAAAGAATTATCTTTTAGACTTTATAAGATGAATACATTTTTCCGTGTATTGGGAAAATGGAGAAAAAGTGGATCATTGTTAAACAACAACCAGTCTGATCAACAATTGATGAACAATGCTATCATTGCGATCTAGCGCTCACCTTCATCATTCTGATAAGAAATGTTCTATAGTGGCATTCAAATTTTTTAGTGACCTAAAAAGACCTTAATAACGGAATAGTTTACATTCATTCTCTTTGTACTCGTCTAATAAAAGTGCATTTATGAGTCATTTCTTAAAAAAAAAAGTAAAACCAGCACAATAAAATAAAGATTACCATTTCTAATCGATGAACGTGATTCGTAGCCAGATAAAACTTTTGCAACACAATAAGGAATAAGATAGTACTTTTGTGAAGTATTTAATTGGTCACAAATTGGTAAACATTGAGGTACAAGAACATAATCTCCTGAATCAATAGGATGACGATGAAAATCTAAGTATGATAATAATTGATGTACATGAGTTTCTTGGATATTTTCACGATGTTTAACTTTTGAGTTAGGATCTTCAAAGCAGATAATAAATGTATAGTAATCTACCTATAAATTGTATAAAAGCAAGTAGTTTGAGGAAGTTATGTAGCAAGTTTACTGTAAGTAATAATAAGCAATAATATTTACTTCGTTTATTTCAACAAAAAAATCATTTGCTCAAAGGATAGTGATTAAATGCATCATTTAATCCTTACCCAGAAAGAAAGCACTTATTTATTCTTTAGTGGCACTGATCCAATTCTCTCACTGTTGTACTTGAGAGATGGTACAGTCACGTGTGAGTCCCTTCTCACTTCCGTCTATTTAGGCAGCTGAGTAATATCAACGAGGTTCACACAAAAATGTTGCCCGAAACACAAGTTCATAAATGTGAACATAACAAGTATATCATTATTATCATAATTCTCAATAGCACACTGTACTGTGTCTGATGCTGAATAGCTTAAAGTATCAGGCAAAGTGATCTTGTAGATCTGACATGATACCGCTTAGCAAAAACGAGGAAATGGAAATGCGAAATCTAATCAATGACTGCTAGTCCGTAAACAAAAACTTACCTGAGAAAGTACAGTACCCATAAACAGCCGACTGCCCTCATTATACTTTGGAGCCAAAACAGTATGACCCAGGAGTAAAGCACCAGCGGAAGGAGCTATTCGAATATCATCAGCCCACCAATCAAGTTGTGAGCGACCATTCAAGAAAGATCTATCATGAACGAAAAAAATCGCTGTATAATTGAAATATGGTACGTGATATAAAATAAAACTAAAACAAACAATTTATTCCAACTTAAACCTTGTTACTAGGATATACTAGGGAGTTATTTTTCCAAAACGTGTAAAGAGCTAAACAGTGTCATATAAACGTTACAACGTTACATAGACTAATCCACATATTTAAAGGTTAAAGCAGAACATAAAAATTAGGAATGGTCAAAAATATTTAGCATCTAAAGAGCGCTAAATTGTTTTATGTACAATTGTGTATGAAGAAACGACGTTAATGAGACAGTAACTCAAATTCATGGACCATCGGATATCCATTTCGTCTTGGAATGTGTCCCTGCAACAGTGTGCATCCACTATCCCACCTAGGGTCTTCAGAATGCTCAGTGACTGCACAGCATTCAAACTACTGAACCGGGATTAATGGTTTGCATTTCAAAATACAATTAACTCAAACCATCATCATTTATTAACTCATTCTCGACATGGTTGAACTACATTGATCACAAGAGTTATCAGTTGAAGATAGTCACTAGTAAGTAAATGATAATGTTTTAATATGCGGCATCGTGGAAACTGCAATTTTGTAGTTTTACATCTATACATGATAACGCAGTTAAGATGTCGACAGCGACAATGTGCGTACAAAATAATATAATTAGTTTATCGAATAATAAACCATCCAAGTATAACAACATATATCATATTAACTACTTGTTACAAACTGCGATTGTACAAAAAAGCGTATTCACCTAGCTGCACGGTATCTGCTTCGTTTATATTTATTACCAGAATATTCCTCTGAACACTCACATGCAAGACATGAATTACATACACCGTGATGATCATGATCTTCACCACACATATGTTCCGAAGCGGTTAGTTGGTTTGAATCCGTTGTAGTTACTTCCTCGGACGTGCCAGAAACCGTTTGAGTTTGACAATCGTTTGTTTCAAGCAATGCACTTCTCTGAATTGGTTGTTCACTAATGTTAGGACGGTGAATGTTACTTTCTGTTAATTGTGCTCCAATTGAAGGGTTCGAAACTTGACAAGCACTATCTTTAAGCAAAATAAATAAGTACAAAAGTGATCTATTTCTAACAAAAATATGCATTCTTTGTGTAAAAGTCCTCAAATCTTTTGGTAACTGAATGAATGAGAATTAGACAGAAGGAAATCAATTACTGAAAATAATATGTGTCATCAACATAAATTTTAAGCCATACTGTAGTGAACGAGAACACCGGTGGGGCAACCGAATTGTATTTAACGAAAATTACAGAGTTACTCAGTAAAATCGGAAAACCATATCGTAAATCGTTAATTTGCAAAATATCAGTTCATCATATCGAACTGGACTGTTTGTTCCTGTTGCCAAACATCAATCCATTGTCACTATTCATGCGTTTCATACAAATTTCATTGTGTTCTAACTGTTGATTAGCGTTTTTAAAAACTTAAAGGTTCGAATGTATTAATTGAGATTGATGTATATACTGCTTGTTAGACCACACCTTTGTGCCTTAATAGTCTTTCCTCATAAAAGAACTCAGATAATACCATGATAAGACAGAGATCTGAGGGGTCTTCGGTTCATTTTACAATAGACTTGTCAGTAAGCACAAATGAACAGTTCAAAAGTAGGACGAAATATCTGTTCATGCTAGGTTTCAATAAGTTTTTAGTCAATATCATCTTCTGAAAAACATTACTTCTGGAATTCAACTAAATCAACAGTAAAGCATAATTGCAAGTTGTGAGATTTTCTCAACCTATAGTATTCTGTCATCTTTTCTCTACCAAGACAAAATCGAAAGTACTTACACACATAACTCCTAACGTTAGTTTCGTGCATAAAGGATTTCAGTTATAAAAAAAAATCAATCATGCATGATGAAATTGAAAAAAAAGAAAAAGGCCGAAAGTAGCCGAACATAAGGGTGCTATTTTTTGTGCTACAAAAACACAATCCGCATCTAAAGTATATTGTGAACATAAACTCTCATAATAGTTAACTTTTTACCGATTAACAAAGTTACAGTGATGAAAAAGTTGAATTCTATCTCACGGTGAATACTATATATACTATGCTTTAACTGGAATTAATTTTTGTGAGTAATATAACATTTTTTGTAGCAAACTCTTATCAGTCTTTCTCCTCAGTCAACCGGGTCAACTTAATTTACACATCGGTAAATTTATCATTACAAACAACAACAAAAAAAAACGTTAATAAGATATTAGCAACTGATAACTGAAATATGCATTCTGAAACAGTATTATGCATATGAGCATGCAGGAAATAAATATTCGGCTGTTAAGCAATCATGTTACACATTTTAAAAAAGAAACACACAAGTATTAGGCGGTGAGAAACTTGTTTTTTTTCTTTAAATTAAAACAGCATGAAAAAACTACTAACCAACGTTATTTTTAATAAGATAGTGTAATATTTAACTAGGACAACAAGTTATCAATATGAATTGGTTACTCTGGGTAACATAACTAGTTGTGTGACCTGAGAGTCATATCCATTATAGAAAAGGATACTGTTTTATAACTTTTCTAATGATAGAAACAAATTAAAATTGATTAAGGTCAGTGGTAAAAAAAAAAAATAGAACTACACACTTTTATAAAGTTCAAGTTTATCTTTCAAAATCCTATTACTAGTGGGTATATTCTGTAAAATCCCGGACTAGGACGGATCAGTCGGTCCTGGTTTTCTTTTGTACTCTTCCAAGAAGATATTTATTACTTAATGACAGAAACCATTCTTAATTTCATTGAAATCGAATTTTCATCACTTTAATTATGTTTAAGATTTTGTCATAAACAATAGTTTAATGGTAGGTAATGATCGATACTTGGACGTTTGACAATGCACATCACTCCACACATTAGGCTTCGACTGCTTCTTGTTGATAAAATTGAATCGTAAATAACAGATTAATGAATCAATTAATCAAAGGATAACAAGGATTATTTGTAGTTGCTGTGTTTGTCAAATTTACCGTGTTCACTCTTCACACTGTAGTTTCTAGTAGCATTAGTTTGATTTACTGTATGTACTGTCTCTTGAAGTGTGTGAAAAATACATATACTTACTGTACAATTATTACATGAAGTATTTCAGTTGGTAGGAGCACAACTTCATCATCAACTGCTATTCATGTCCTTTCTCAGCTCATCATGGATTGTGAATGACAATGACATACATGCCTTTCTTGAGTTAACTATCATGTTTCAATATTGCCTGTGTTAACTAACTTCTTTGATTGACAGCAAACAAAAAAATATTCATACAACTATCGATTTAATTGCTGTCAAATTGCAATTACTCTGACGATTTTACAGTAGTTAATTAGGATTACTAATTCCATCCTCACTATAACCTACGACCATATATGTAGTTACTGGCCATAAAATATTATAAGTTCTATAGATTTATTTCTTCAAATAAATTCGTTTGAATACTCATATTAAAACTTGTATTCAGTATCTTATTACACTTTTTCTTCATAACTTTATATTAAACAATAATTAGACCTGATTATTTTACCTTGAAAAAGCTCGGACTAGACTGACGAAACTTAGGTAGATATATGATATGTGCTTCAAGTGTACAACTTTCTCGGAAGGTGCTTCAAGCGTAAGCACACGTACAAGTGTTAAATTCAGGGATATTAAGTTTTGAAAACTATTTCTTACTTAACTTTTAACTTTATAAACTTTGATAACATGCTTTTGTCAAAATTCGTGCTGCTTACCTTTCTTCCATCACTCGTACTTTTTCTACAGAACACCATGATCGTCAATGCGATCATGAATTAGAGAAGCTTGGCAACTTAACTTGTTTTTCCAGGTGACCCCTGGATTCAGTTGTTTTCCAGGACAGTAACCAGCAATATTCGTTAAATGCAAATTTACCCCGAAATGTCATAAGGCCTTCAAATTCTGAGAAAATCTGAATGTATATGAAAACCTGTCACTTGAAATATCATTCGAGTCGCATAGTAGTCGTACACTAAATATTCTTGACACTTTTTTTTCTTCTAAGAAACTCTCATTAAGGTAGTATATTCATATTGGAAAAACCACAAACAAAAAAATGATATTTGGGAAAAAGTCAGAATTTAATTAAGTGTCTGTGGTGGTGTTTTGTTCTCTGAGTTGGATGTTTTGATTTTGGAGCTTTCATTGTTCTTCTGAACAACATCATCAGCACAAACTTCAGTTAGAAGTGAAGCATTCGAATTTCTCCACGTTTGACCTATAGCTTGTTCTGCTAACCTCGATCTTCAGTGGTTGCTGTTGACCTTAAACCTGTCGCTGTTTGCACCTTTGTTTTTGATTGTATCCACCTTTTGATCTGTTTCTCAATCCTATGTCACCTATGATTTTTCTGATTGGCTGATAAATTGGGTCAATGTCGATGTGTTTGTTGACTGTTGATTGACCTAAGTGCCAAGCTTCTAAAAATTCTCTAGTGTTCTTTGTCCTCCCCCTATCCAGTATTTCCACATTGTGCCAATCGAATGTATGTCCATAATTGTCAGTGTGTATTGATATCAGCGAAGAGTTGTCGTGACGTTTGACTGCTAATCGAAGCTGAAGAGGCCGTCCACTTTGTCCTATGTAGTGTTTTTAACAATCTGAGCAATTTATTTTGTAGATGATATTTGGTTTTTCTTCCTTTGTCATTTTGTCCTTTGATCGATTGAAGTGATTCTGTTGGTTTGTGTGCCACACCTATTCCAAATGGTTTCAGTAGTCGTGGTGTATGCTCCTATATGTCTTTTATGTATGGTAGGATGATCCATTTGTTGGTTCCTGTACTTGATTTTGCTTCTGTCGACGATTTCAGTTGATGTTTTATGATGAAGTTGCGTGAATAGCCTTTCTTTTTGAAGATAGTCATAAGATGTTTTTCCTCGTTTTTTAGTGCTTCATATGTGCTGCACTGTGTCTTTGCTCTCTTGAACAAAGTTTGAATTCAGTTGATTTTGTGGGTTCTTGGGTTGTTGCTACCGTAGTTGAGAACTAGATCTGTGTGGGTTGGCTTCCGAAATACTCGAGTTTCCAGTTTTCCTGTGTTAGTTCTGGTGATTTGTACATCCAGGAAGGATAATTTGTTGTTCGATTCCTTTTCCATCTTCAATTTGATGTCATCGAAGACGTTGTTGATCTGATTGTAGATGTTCTCCAGCTCGTTCCTTTTGATAATGACGAATGTGTCGTCTTCATAGCAAACCTACATTTTTGGCTTGAGCACTGGTAAAATCGACGCCCCTAGTCTCTGCATTACCGCTTCCGCGATGAGTCCTGGTATTGCTGATCCCATTGGTGTTCCTTTTGTTTGTTCGTAGACTATTTTTGAATTGAAAATACGTTGTTAAGCATAGATCGATGAGTTCTAGAAAACTTCGGCTCTGAAAATTCGTATATTTTCGCAGGTTTGTGCCGTTGGCGAGGAGCGGGTAAAAGTTTCTTTGTCTAAGCTTGGCTCTATTGAGGTGAATCAGGCTGTTATGTTGAAGGATATCATCGTCTCGTTGTTGTCGAGTTGAATCCCCTTGAGTTTATCTCAGAATTGTGTGGCAGACTTAATGTGGCAGTTGGATTCACCCACCAGATGTTTTAGTATCCTTGAAATTTCTCTTGGTAGTTGTAGGTCGAGGTTCTGTGGAGGTATACAATAGGGCGTAGTGGAATGTTGGGTTTGTGGAGCTTCGTCCTACCATAGAATCGTGAAATTACTGGTCCATTCGATTTCTTTCTCCGTTGATCTTGTTTTGATATTGGCACTGCTTTGACAAACCTGTTTAGAGTCCTTGAGATTTGATTGTCCAACTTTTTGTTGGGTTTTATGTTGATTGGCTTACATACGCTTTTGTCCTCAAGTAGTTCCTCGGCTTTCTCGATATATTCTCCCTTGTCCATAATTACTATGGTGCGTCCTTTGTCTACTAAAACTATGGCTATATCTTCCCTGGTTCTGAGTTTCTTTAGGGCTTTTCCGTGTTGTGCTGTTAGTTGGTTCTTATCTCTCTTCCGTCGAGTTAGTGGTACCATGTTTGCCTTATTTCTTGTTCAGTTTCTTCACTTATTCCTGTCGTTTTGAGCGATGACTCTAGTGCAGTTTTAAGGCATTATCATATTTTATCTTTGATTTCAGTGACGTTTTAGAAGCAGAAGAGATTGACTTCCTATTAAACTTTGATTATTCTTTTTTTAATAAATGTATGAAGCTGTCAAAAATCACTCAGTCAATGCACTGAACTAAAGATCTAATATGCCATTAGTTATCAGGGTGGTGAACATGCACTTAATCTATGTTTACTTACAACAGTATTTGTGAAATCACGCGTTAGTCAATAATATCAAAACAAACGCCCATAAATATAACTTATGAGAGAATCTTGTCCTCGAATATTTAAGGTTTCGAGGACATTATATCACCATTTCGGTAAAAATCACTTGAAGCATCATTCAAAAACTTAACTGTTCTCTTACAGTTTCTTCATTCGTTCATACCTATAGACTAACTACTACAACACTGATTACAGTATTGCGCTTTGCGCATAAAATGCATTAGTTTCAGAACAACTATGTTCGTCATGTCATAAATGGAGGAAAAGAGGTTTGATCAGTCAGTTAATCTATCTAGTTTAGAATCTGAAGCATATATGCATCTCTTCGGGTTATTATACAGCTGAATAGCTAAAGGGTACATTCCACATTGCATTAACGTAAAACTTCCTACTATCGATGGCGAAATGAGTATGAAGGGAATAAGAATAAAATAGAATGATAAAAGATCCGATGTGTTAATAAATGTCTGTCTCGAAACTTTTTTAGAAAAATGGAAGGTCAACCATATACATTCGCGTGAACCTCAGACCAAACCAAATGAACCTACCCACATTCGAGATTATTACTGAAAGGGATATGTTTCTGATTGAAGTCGTTTCGTAAATCACAAAATGAAGTAATAAACAAAAAGATCCTTCTTAATCTGCAAGAAACTAAAGGTCAGAAATATTTGTTCACACTTAGAAACCGCTGAATTATACTGGCAAGATCGAGTCTGCTACACAATCTAGATATTCTTAAGTGAAAATTCAATATAGGACATACCTGACGAGATAAAATCGAGAGATATGGGATCAAAATATCTCATCAGTCATTGGACATTGTTCTAGGCTAAGCATAGATGCGACCTTCCATTGAAGTAACCATAATCAGTGGATGGTGACAGACAAACGGTTAAAATTAAAAGAAGTTGTAACCCTGCATACATGTTTGATCTCTGTCTTAATCTAGGTCTTGAACACTATCATCATATACTCCATGTATTTATCTTACTTGTTTTTCCGCTAAGTACAGTACTTTTGTCGGCAACGGGTCCCTTTCATGTTGTCTGTCCTACTATGAAGTGTGCTAGCACAGAACAATAGCCATTTTAGCCATGTGCAACTTCATTTATCTGGACTTTTATAAAATACTACAAATGACAAAAATGTGCATACGGCTTTAGGATTCAGGATCTTGGTAAAGACCAATTTAGACTAGTAAAGGATGTTTCGTTTGGCCTGCAAATAAACCTAGTTAGAGGAGCTAATTTTTAAATTAGCTGATATTGTCGACGATTTATTACTAAGTTAAAATTTGAAGATAATTAGGAACTGAAAACATTCAATATGCAATTAGGTGCAGAATTAATCTGCTAAATTTTGACCATTTCATTCGTTTCTCCACACTATTTTCTCATCTCTAAATATTAAGAGGCAAGCTACCCTGATAGAAAGCTCGGAAGCAGTTAAAGTTTACTCAACTTGCTATTGGTCATGAAATACAGTTTACGTTATCGATAATATTTTCTATGTAGTAACATGGATTGTATTACTGTCTTATAGTTATCGTTTCCATATATAACAACTAAATATCAGCAATAAATTTTAACATTGGAATTTCTGGTCTAGAAAACAACGCTTTCTAATTTTTTAAAAAGGTTTCCTTTATTTCTGATAATCCCAGCCCATCAAAAGATGGAGCTTTATATGTTAATTTAACCAACATCCAAAACTTCAAAGACATCTATTAATCTTAATTTCAGTTTTAAATATGTTCTCTTTGCAGGAATACTTAAAGTATTAACTCCAAGAATTTACTTATTTATCTATTTTTAAGTATTTAAGATGTTATATGTAATTTATCACCACACTGTGGACCATTAAACGGCGTTTGATGTGGAATGTATAATGATAAGTTACAAGAATGATAAACTATAAGAGTAAGCCATAGTCTATGAATTCCAACATTATGGTTTTAAACAGGGCATAAGGATAGAGAACTAATTGTTGATAAGACCATCTTGATTATGAGCACAATATGTAGGCCTGATGACAACTACAACCAAGATTACTTTATAAGTATTATGGTCAAGACAATGTGGTGTTTACGACAGGGATTGTTGAGAGTTTAGACAAAAGACAACTGTTGACCGGTAGTGGGACCCACAGAGTTACATAAGCCTTTGATTACATCAAAACTTATTTACACCATCGACGTTTGAAAGTTCGAATCACTTTTCATAAATAAGTATTATGTGACGTTTTCTTCTTATCCGTAGGATTAAGAAACATTTGTTAGTTCGGTGTTGTAAATGCTTTTGTTTAAAATATACGTTACAAGTACTACTTACTATATTTAAAAACTTAAGTCCAGGATAAAGATTATGATTCTGATTTGAACTGTATAGTAACAAAGGATATTGAGATTTTCAGCTGTAAACAAGGGTTTTAGAAATTTCGTTGCGTAACGGACACTAAATCTGGCATGAAGATTAGGCCTACAAACAGAGTTAAAATCTTACCTTTCATGGATTCTTGCAATGACAAACTACGCGTCTGCGAGCTCTCAATCGGACACGTTCTAACAGCGATTCCGTTTGGAAATTTTTGCAAACTGTCAAGCAAATACTCATAGCACAAATTCGGGCATCCGAATAGTTTTGAAGGGACTCTGACACTCCACTCAATCGGTGATAGCTGAATGAAACATCCACTAACAGAGGTTGTTATAACAGTCAGTTTGCTCTTCGGACAACAAGTCATCATTAATAATTTAGAAGCTAGTTCAACTACTCTGTTACTTGGCTTCGCATTATTTATTAAAAGAGTTACATACAGGGGTCGTGAGTTGCAAATTGTAGATAATTGTCGTATTTCGCACAGCTCCTGTAAGCAATATTATTTATAAAACACACAATTTATAGATTATATACCTTGGTCAACAAGCCGTCTGTGACCAGCAGTACACACTCCGCATCCACATGTGAGTAAGATGCCAATAACGCAGGAAAAATGTAGCTGCTAGTTCCAAAACACACATTTCTCAACCACCTACTAAGCTCCTGTAGGTTTATGTGGGAAGCCCTTACTAGCTTTGAGCGGAAACATTTCACCTATTCATAGAAAAGTACATGAGAATCGGAGACTTACATTGTCATCGAATGTTATAACATTAAAATACAAGGCTTTATTATTTATTGCTATCTTGCACAAATGCTCGACAATATGAGAGCAAATCTGATCCCATACTCTGTAAATACTGCCAGAAGTATCAATGCAAAAAATGATACGAGACTCCTTCACATCACCGAAAATGGTTTTCCGTGTTGATATTTGCGCACAGTGATTTGCTGAAGCACAAAGTTTTGATATTTTCATGCTGTATCATTTAGGTCGATTTGTGTAACTAAGTGAGCTTGTGTTTAACCTAAAGGTACCTTGTCTGCTGCAAGAATGTGAGGAGCGGTGTGCAAGGATCTGTAAGAGAAGGTGAGAGAGCAAGTGTGAACTAATTATTAACAATCAGACATGGTGCAATGACTAATGATTATAATCGAAAACAAACATATTAACGTAAAATTGAGATTAGAACTAACTTATGAGTGGACCTAAAGTTACCAGAGCAGGGTTCAAAATCAGTACATACAATAAGTTCAAAACCTTGCACAACTCGCAGTTAAAGCAACATGAGGATAAACAAATGTAAAAATAATTTTAAACCTTATGGCTAAACAAAATACCTAACATTGTTAGATAGATCGAAAATAAATAACGTACAAGACGCTTGACTAATGAAAAAACAAAAACAGTCGTTTCATTGTACATTACCAGTATTGAATGCCCAATATCTCATTTCCGAGCTAGTATAAACCAACTGATTTATTTGCGACCGGTTCCCGTTCTTTCGATACGGTTCCAGGGATTTGGTAGTGTTTAATGGACGGGGTCTAGCCACTCGACTGCACTAATTCTTATCAGCTGACAGCTGTTTGTGAGTTTGTATGTCCTGTGATTTGAATAATTACGTGTTTCAGGAAATAAGGGTTTCTAGACACCAGCAGCTATCACATTACCAGACCGAAGATCGGTTAGTTGCAGTGTGGAGAATAATAAGGAGGAAATTTAAGTGCTAATACTTCGAAAATTTCAGAGCTAAGTAAATAAATGGATTAACAGTTAGGTTAGTGAATCGGTTGTGAAGATAATGCTAGAGGATCGAAGTGTAAGCAAGAAAGAGAGACCAAAGATAATGAGCGAGCAGTATCAAATTAGCGATATGAGGAAATGATAACGATAACAACCAGTAAGTTTCAAGCCATTCATCAGGCACAGCTGGTTCAAGTGAGAGATGATAATCCTTTTCGGTACTTGATTATCTAGTCTCTTCTTAAAGCTGTTCACTGAGGGGTTTTGGTCTCCTCAGCAAGGGGTTAATCCCAATTTGCAAAGACTCTTAATGAGAAAAAGTGTGCACAAACCCTAGTGTTTGTCCTTTGTGCTTAATTTTGCGCGGATTACTTCGAGGGTTTTGGTGGTGATGCTTCGGTAGGATGCTCATGTTTGGATCATTTGGGTGCTTTATATGTTGTATTCGGATATCAAATCGCCTCTGTTTCCCTTGCAACTCGGAGGGAATAACCTTAAGTGCTGGAGTCTGTCTTCTTAAGTTTTATTCTTCAACTCTATCACCCCTTGCGTTGCTCGTCCCTGCAATCAATCCAAGAGACGTTTGTCTCCTTTGAGGAGTTGGGTTGCGCATATGTCTTAAGCGGCGTCAGTTATAATTTCAGGGTAATAGCACCAATTTTTCTTCTCATAAGGTGAACAGCTGCATTAGACTTGGCTGCGTCCCCTATGTATTTCGGACTGGTTTCGAGGCTTTCAAAGGTTAATAAACGGAGGTCGCGTTCTGAAGAGACATTAAGGCTTGTTTTCGTCCCGCCTGGATGTTTCATTTATCACCGTGCTAAACACAAATGTGCAATGGTCACTACATCCTATTGTTGTATGGAAGTGATAAATCTCGACCGGGAGCTGATCATTTGTTAACAAGTAATCCAACCTTGAGTATTATTATCCATCCTTAGTCCATCTAGTGGCTCCATAAACTTGCTCAGTCATCCCAGAACTTCTAATGGCTGCTATAAGTCGTCTTTGGAGCCAACCAGTGAGAGTTGTACTCTATTTGCTGAGATTGGGGGTTGAAATCTCCAACTAAGAGAATTTGATCAAACCCAAGGAGTGGTAGTTGCAGTAATAATAATAATAATAATTTATTCTCAAATAACAAACATGTTACAAGAGACATGTCAATTTACAGGCAAGATCAAAATGTTAAGATTAGCAACATATTTCTTTTAAAACGGTATACGGTTACTGAAACATTTCATGAGATTCATTGGATTCCTAAAGATGGAATGTTCAATGCGAATAATTGGCGCAAGTTAAGAAGGTTGCGTTACGACAATCATCTTATGGACTGAGAAACGATTCATGGTAGAGACAGGTGTTCATATGACAAGAATTGATGCTGTAAATGTACAAAGGTCTGATTGATGTTCATCAGCTAATGATTTCACATGTTCTTCGGTAGGGTAACCAAGTCTACTGCAAATATCCAGACTAATATACGAGGATTGGAATAAGGTACTGAAAAAAGAGGAATAAAGAAAACGGGACGAGGAGCCGAACAGAAAATATTCGTGTTCAAAGCCGAACAACGGCTTTGCACATACGTTTATGGATAAAACAAAGGTATGTTTACTTAGACTTTTTTAATATCAGAACACTAACTGTAAACCTGCACTCATGTAGGTTAATGAAGACAATTCAGTAGTGAGATAACTAATGGGAAGTTAGTCGTATGAATAGAGGAAGAACCAAGTTGTTAGTAATAATGTTGATTTACAAATTATAATAAAGAGGCTCAGTGATATAATGTTTTTATTTTATTTATTCTTTTTATTTTTAACTCTGTGGCTCAAGAAGTTATGAATGAGCTAGTTTTTAGTATAGTTGTCCAGACCAGCTTGTACTAGGATTTCTCGGTAGGAAGTAAAAACAAGTGCAAGGTTACAGACATGAGTTGTAGACGAGGTTAACAAGGAAGAGTAACATCAATATCACTGATTTGTTACATCCTGCTATATCGTAAGGAGCCGTAAGCAAACAAAATGTTCTGCCACACAGACATGGTCAGATTGAGGTTATCGCCCCACCGTCATGAATTCTGGTCAGATACACCACCATCCCTCCTTTTGTGATGTTAGGCTCACTTACGTTTAATGGTTGATTGTAAATAATGGTCTCTAGTCTACTCTCAATTTTTTTTGTACACATCGGAATTAACATTCTCTACTAGCTCCATATTACAAGCAATCCAGATAACTTTGCAAGACAATATATCCACGTAGCGTATCACACTGATTTTAAGTAAACGAATGGTATAATTTGTAAGATGAGTCAGTTAATAGGTAGTTTGGGAATAGGAAGGACAGGGAGCTGGAACGAGGAGAAAGAGAAAAAAAGGAGTTGAAATAATATTAAAAATTAATGAGTAAAGCGATAAGTTGATCAGCAGGCAAGGTGTTTGGATGTTAATGAATCGGGTAAATAAAAATTTGTTAAACTGTTAATAATTAAATGAGAAGAAACTCAGTTAGTTTATTTTTTTGGCCTTAGTACCTGAAAGGGTCCGGTAATCGCCTCCAATCAAGTGTTTCGTGCCATTTGTGTTGAAAAAACAGCAACAGCCCCATTCCGCCACCTCGGTAAGTTGGGTACCATGCAGTCTTTTGGCTTTGAAATGGCTGTTAATATATATAAGCTCCGCCTCCTGTTTGGTGTACCTTATTGCGTCGGAAGAGTGTCTTGCCGTGCAAGCTAATTTCATCGTCTGCAATGTCAGATAGTAGCCATTTTTCCGTTAGGATTATGATTTTCAGATCCATCTGAAAGTACATATTCCTGATTTCTAGCAGCTTGCGCCTTAGTCCTCTTATGTTGCTATGGAGACACTTGATGGTTTGTCTCAGCACCTGGTGCACCTCCGGAGCAACACCGGTTGTCGGATTTTCAAACCGAGTCGATCACCTATGTGTGAACTGGCATATGCAGGCTTTTTAGCCATGTAGTGCATTAAATATTTTAGTTTCAGTGGTGAGTAAAATTCAAGGAACTTCACAAAACCGTCCCCAAATCTCTGTTAACTAGCGCACAGCATGCATTTAGCTTTTCAATATATTATATCTCTTCCATAGTATACTACTGAATAACTTGCCTAAAAACCATGGATGCGACAAAATAACTTTTCTGAATGCAACAGCGAAGACAAAACTGAGAGCGTTCATGGAAGGTTGTATGCATGGTAAAACCAGTATGTTCACTCGATTTCCCCTAAATGACAATGGAACCTGTAAGAACCATAAAGCCTGTCCGACTCTCGAGATATATTTTTTTTGATGTTAGAGTGAACAGCCTACTTAATCTCTAAATTTGATCCCCCATCACAACTCAGTTCTAACCATAATCAGTCCTATGACAACCTAGTCTGTAATCGGCTTCTTCATGACACTTGTCACTCTCTCATTCCTTCTCTCAACATTCGATATCGTTTCACGAAAATCAATTAGCATAAAATTACTTTATTCCAGTAAACTCAAACATTGCACTGATAATGGAGCCATCCATATTTCATCACTTCTTAAGTACAGACCGATCCGATGGACATAATGCAGCAGAAGGCGGTACAGTTATCGCTGTCCATTCGAGCATTCAAGCAAGTAGATTTCAGAATACATGTCTCAGTACTGCTGATAGCTCCATTTGTGTAACTATAAATTGCAGGTCGAAACAATGTGTACCGCTAGAATGTATATACCGTCTATTCTCTGCAGATACTAAATTTTGGAAATTTCTGAAAACATTTTTTTCCTTCTTACATCTAACCATGCACGCGTAATATCACTGAAGGTGCTTTATCTGCCAAACGTCTTATGGAACTCGACTTCAATGCCCGAAAGGCTATTCGAGACAATTGAATTTCAAGTGTGTGTTCAACGTTTCCAACTCCGCTTGCAGCACTTCTTGGGTTGCTGCTGGTGTCAAGTCCAGATATAGGAGGAGGGTGGGGCACGGGATTGGCGACCCCATCCCACAAAAAACTAACTTGCCAAATAAACGACTAACATTTAAAATCTGCTCTGGGAATAAGGTCATATTTCAGAATAATTATGGCACCTCGTGATGAAAGCCGAGTTTCCTTCGAAGCCATGAGGCCCATGCCCCTTCTAACAACCAGTGGAACCATTCTTTTAGATACATGGTGTGTTCAAACATTTTGGGAGACCGGAAGAATATTCCAAGCTGATGCAGAGATGAAAAGATACATTCTGACTATTGTGATGGGAGACTTAAATGCCAAGGTTGGCATGGACAGCACTGTATATGAAGATATCATGGGACGACGTAGACCTGGAGAAAGGAACGAAAGTGATCAGAGGGTTACAAACCTATGTGCCTTCAACAAACTGGTCATAGGCAGCACAATATTCCCACACAAGCTCATACACAAGGCTACATGGATTTCACCGGATCACGCTACTCAGAACCAAATCGGCCATATCTTTATCAAGACAAAG